AAGCTCTCATTTATGCAAGTCCTTGAAAATGATGCTGAAACAAGCCATGTCTAAATTGAGCCTATGGACATAAGCAATTCCATCAGACAACCCTACAGGTAAACAATGGGCAGGAGGAAGAGGCCTCTCTGTGCTGTTCTGCTAATGCTATTTTAGCCTCTTCTATCAAGATATACACACACAGAGACACACACATACACACACACATATATATATATGTATATATGTATATACATATACATATATATACACATATGGGCATGTATATATATCTATACACAAATACACACATACACATACACACATACACTCACATACACACATACATACACACACACATATGAAAAGTTGCAGAGAAATATTTGGCACAGAATTGTAACTAGCAATCTAGTGATTGAGATGTTTACAGCATTCAAAATGATTAATTAATATCAGTAAGGCCCGCTGAAAAGGTTAAAGGATCATTTTAACATTCAGTGATATTATCACAATCATCAGAATGGATTATTTTTGAATTTGTTATGTATTTCCTATTTATGCTCAATAAAGCAATGAGGCTGCAATTGTTTCAATTATTTTCACAAATAGTAGAATTTAAGAAATTAACATTTTGAATAATGATAAAGTTATGGAGCCAGTACTCATTTTGTTTTTGAGAGTGTATTATGCCAAATTCCCATAACTGTCTGTTTTATATTCTAAGGTTGCTTTTCATTGACTTCAAGCCTGGATATTCCTGCCTTGTGAGTCCCTCCCGCCCCAACCAATAGTATCAAATAGAGAATAGAGAAGGATACTACTGAAAAAAAAAATAACATTTTAGATTAAATAATGTTTAAGTAGTGGAGAAAATAGTCTGTCAAATTTCAAGATTCTTCAAAAGCAGAGGCTTAAATCATTCGGATAATTTCCTTTCTATTGCAACTGCACTGTTATAAATTCAGAAGCCAGACATTTTTAAATACTATTGCAGAAAACATCTTTTGTTCCTAAATCTTACTCTTAACAAGGACTAAGTGATGCCCCATTTATAACATTTTCAATTCGTAGAGTCCACATGTGGCCACGTACAAAGATCGCCAGACACAGTGTACATTTCAAAAAAGCTAAACCTCATAAATCTCCAGAAATTCCTCACATCTATTATGTTTACCTTCTGCTGCTGATGAGCCTGTTGGGCTCTGTACAGAGGAAATTACAAGCGCTCCAGAAGATTTGGCAAGAAGATGCTAGAAGAAACAATGGGCAAAAAAATAATTCTTAACTGAAGCATCACATCCAGCTTTGGCTACCATTTACATATTTGAGATTACAGCTAGTAAAATGGAAATTCCATTGAAATGGAATAAATTGTTTTCTGAAATCACTATCTGATTACTGTTGGTGATGTCTGAAATTAAACATGTTAAGCTACACTCAATGTACTTCATGGAATTCAACTGAAGGCTCACATTCATATTGAAAAGCTGTCTGTTTATGCAGTTTTCCAATTTAGAACAAAGGGATTTGTATACATCCAAAATTTCTACTCCCATCCTAGTGTTCATTTCTCTATTAATCTATATTACCAAAAAATGTCTTCTTTTACTTAATAGATGATTTGAAACTGTTGTAACAGCTGTTGACTAGTAAGGAAATACCAGTAGAAATATTTTATAGTCACATGGTTAAATACCACTGGAAATTTGCTTATATTTGATGCCAAGTGAAATGCTTATTTTTAAGGCATATTTTGTGGAGTGATAAAAAATTAATAGGTCAAAAATCTTCCACTGAGGCTACATAGACACAATGCCAATACAACCCATTGAAAATGAAAAACTTATTTAATATTTGTGTTTTTTTAAAAATTGATATGATGCTAAGTAACCAGTCCAATTGATGTTTTCACTCACTGAATTGTTTTGTCATTGTGTAGACACATCCTAATAATCCACACAAGAGCCCATGTTAAAGAAAATTAAATTTTCTTAATATTTAAAGGCAATTTAAACTTAAAAGTATTTGTTAAACATATAACTGCTATTTTTATTACATTTCAGGCCACCAAAAACATCTACATGAATAAGTGCACATGTGTAGTGCCATGACAGAGGGTAAAAAAGAATCCCTCCTAAAAAATTTTTGGAATAAGAGCTATTGCTGGAAAAAAATGCTGGACTACTAATAATAATTACCATCTCTACTCAAGATGTAATAGTAACAACTCAATTTATTTCTACCTCAAAAAAGTACATTGAAGAATAAAACTATTTCTCAAACTTGCACTTTACCAAATCTGAAAACAACAACAACAACAACAACAACAACAACAGCAACAACAAAACCCTCACTCATTTGTTAGCACCAAGGCCCACATATTAGCTTATGTAAAGACAAATTACATAGTTTCCACAAGGCCCTGATTCTTAAAACCATCCAGAAAATATATGAATGCAAGTTCTAACAGTTATTTTCAACTATGTAGATAACATTTGTCATTCCAGGACAACATATTATACTTAGAACAAATAGCCAATACATATATTCAACTCCAGGATGTCTTGATCCCAAGCATGCTACCATCTCACAGGATGCTATTGCCAATTACTTCAAATAAACCTCATACCTTGAATTCTATTTTCCCCCTCTTAAATACTGTCTATCTTTAATTATAACTACTGAGCAGTATTTAAAAACCTTCATAATATCTATTCTTATCTCTCTGCAAATCACTAGAGTGCCTTTGCAAA